GTGATGACACCTTGACCACAGGGTGGGGTCCTCTCAGACTATGAGATCCACCAGCCACTCTCCTTTCTCTCAGATGCTGCCCGATTTGAATGAATTTGACTAAACTCCAGTTGTTTCCTGAGTTAGAAAGACAAGGAAGAACGTATGCCACAGGCCTGTTGGAGGCGGGGCTCCTCCCCATCTGCCTGACTGTCCATAGAAACAGGGAGGGACCTTCTTCCTAACTTTACTAACATGGCATATGTCCTTTCTACAAATTTGGTGTCATCCCTCCCTTAATATAGCAGAGACACTTGGACTCGGCCCCTGGTCACTTCTGTTCTCTTAGCAGGACTCCTCTCTATCCCAGGGGGTCCCATATTTCAAATCCACTGTGGCATCTTCCTTTGGTCACAATGTGATCTGGTTGGACAGAAGAACTTGGTCTATGACCTTTGTGCTCACTAGACAGAAATTCCTCCAAAAACTGGCATTAGAGCTTCGGAGCATGAATAATGATTTTCACATATTCTTTCACAATTTAACTCAAAATCTATCTCATAACTGCCAAACACAAATGGACCATGAGGGCCATATCATCAGCAAGTTCATGCTCCCCCACCTCCACAAGCCACCCTTCTGTATGTGCTACTGTCTGCGTGTTGAAGGAGGATCCCTGCCCTCTGCAGTGGCAGAAAGGACATTAAAGACCAAGGGCAGAGAGCCTGGCTCTGCTGCCACTACCAGCCAGCTCCCACCGTCCCTCACTCTTTTCTAAATCCTTCCTGGACTCTGCTCTGCTCTTTCTGGGGTCACTGTCTCATGTCAGTCACCAGTGAACTCCTGGGCAGACAGCCACACCTCGTCGCCCTGCAGCCTGGGTACTAAATTGACCACTAGACTTGCTTCTGGTCTCCTGTGTATTGTTTCTGCTCAGACACCCAGTTCAGGGCCACACTGCCCAGTCTTCTAGGGATTAACAACTATGGGCTGGCCCATCATTACTCATCTCTAGGTTAACTCTGGTATGTGAGGCTTCAGTGGAAACACATCTCAACCCAGCAATGTAGGTCTGTGTAACTGGAGGGGACTCAGCACCTGCACATTCCAGGTGCAGCTGGAAGGGACTCAACTCCTGCACATCCAGGAGAGACACCAACATCAGCCAGGCAATCAGCTGGTCAGTGAGGAACCAGGACAGGTGCCGGGTGGTCTCTGACTCCCAGTGCTATGTCTCTCTATGATCAAATCCTGACAGTTATCTGACATCTGAGAAAGTCTGCGCTTTTTCTCCCAGACATAGAGCAGGCGGCCTTGCAATCTCTAAGCGCTCAGATCCTCATGCATTTGTTTGTCTTGTGATCTGCAGATCTGCCTTATTTCTTTAAGAACTCAAGTTAGCGCCCTGACCAGTTTGGCTCAGTGGCTAGAGAGTCGGCCTGTGGACTGAAGATTCCCAGGTTCAATTCCGGTCAAGGGCATGTATCTTGGTTGCGGGCACATCCCCAGTAGCGGGTGTGCAGGAGGCAGCTGATCAATGTTTCTCTCTCATGGATGTTTCTAACTCTCTATCCCTCGCCCTTCCTCTCTGTAAAAAATCAAAAATATATATTTTTTTTAAAAAAAGAACTCAAGTTAGCTGAGAGGCACCAATTCTGATTGAAGAAGCCTTTGGAGGACTCAATGGGCAATGTTCTCTCTGTTATCTGCACAGCAGAGTTACCCAAACCCAACATCACAAGCAACAACTCCACCCCCGAGGAGCACAAAGACCCTGTTGTGTTAACATGTGAACCTCAGACTCAGGACACCACCTACCTGTGGTTGATCAACAGTCAGAGTCTCCTGGTCAGTTCCAGGCTGCAGCTGTCCAAGGACAACAGGACTCTCACTTTACTCCTTGTCATAAGGAAAGACACAGGACCCTATGAGTATGAAACCCGGAACCCAGTGAGTGCCGGCCGGCCGCAGTGACCCATTCACCCTGAATGTTGTCTGTGAGTAACTCCTGTCCCTGCCTGGGCCAGGCTGTTCACCTGAATCCATACTGCCAGAGGCCAGGCTACATCCATCCCTCTCAGGTCCACGTAAACAGACCCCCACTCTCAACACCCAGGGTGGCCATAACTTCCTGTACCAGACACATCTGGCCAGGCTCGGCCTGGAGCCAAGACTGAGAGGGGATGGGATGCTCCTGTCTGGAGAGGATCAGGGTTAACAAGCTTTCATGGGACAAACAGGTTAATGTTTCAGACTCAGGCTCAGTGACCAGAGAGGGCTACGGATGAGACTTTTTGAATCAAGGCTGTGACCCAGCTCAGAGGAAGAGTGTGGCCCTTACACGGACCAAGATCTTCCCCTTCCCTATGATTACATCATGTGTGGCTTTGTTCTCTGTTCTCCAAATGGTGCAGATGCCCCCACCATTTGACCCAATGACTCTCATTATCTACTAGGGGCAAACCTCAGCCTTTATTGTCTCGGCTTCTAACCCGCCTGCACAGTATTCTTGGCTTGTCAATGGGTGGCCTCAGCAACCCACATAGGAGCTCTTCAAACCCAACATCACTGCAAATGACACTGGATCCTATACCTGCCTCACCCATAATTCTGTCACTGGCTTCAATAGGACCACGATCAAGACTATCACAGTCTATGGTAAGTGCCCCCTGGACCATCGGCACCAGGCTGTGGGGTGCAGGTCTGTCTGGTTTTCACAAAAGAGCCTGGCGGGTGTTGTCTCCCATCCTGTGGCCATGGACACAAGCAAATCACAGTCTTCCCCTGAGCCCTCCCACTGCATCTCTATAGACTCTCCTCCCTTGCTCTTCTGATTTCTCATGGCAGAGCTGGGCTGCAGCCTGGGAACGTGAGGAGGGGGCTCTCTTAGCCCCAGAAAGAGTCAAGTGATGGAGGGAGGGGGCTTCCCAGAGGGGAAAACAAACATCCTCAAGGTCAAGCTGCTACTCCGGTCACTAACACTTTCCTTCTGTCACCTCCTGTCTGCTACCTGCTCCATGTGCTACAAGGAACATACCAGGCTTTGAACAAGCTCACCTCTTTGCCCCAAACTAAAGGAGAAAACCACCTCTGAGGAGGGGTGAGCAGGACAGACCCCTGCTCCCTGCGCTGCTCCGGGCTCAGCTGGTGACTGGCTGCTCTGTGTCGTCTGTAGTGGGACTGGGATCCACAGTGATGGGGCATGAGCAGCCTGTTTTCTGACTGGCCGAATCATGTCACACATCGACACCACAACCTCCCTCAGACCAGGCTGCATGGAAATGGGGAGAGAGTGAGTCACAGGGGAGACCCCTCTGAGCTGTGTCCTGACTCTGAAGTCACCACCTGAACAACACTGTGTGACACAAGCCTATGTGACATTCCTATGGAGCGCAGTGAATGGTGGTGCTTACTTGACAAGTAGGTAGATTCCTGGGACAGTAGGAGCAGTGCCACAAAGTGTGTAGTTTACTGAGGAAGCTATGAGTACCAGCTGTTATTAAAAATGATTACTTCTCTCTAGGGATTTCCTTCTCCCTGATATTCAATCCACAGGCCAGGAAATGAAAGTCCTATTCACACTGAGAAATCCCTTAGATTGAAACGTCTTCAGGTGCTAAGGTCATTAAGATTGGCTGGGCTATATTCTCTAATAAATTACTTTTAAAAAGGAAAATGCATAGCCACCATGCTAGAGAGGGGGTATGATTATTTACCCCCTCTTATTTAGGAAGCTACAGAAAGGTCTGGGGAATAGTCACACAAAAGTCAATGGGTAGCCATAGCTGGTGTGGCTCAGTTGTTAAAGTATCAGCCAGCATGCTGGACACGTCTACGGCTCCCAGTGCTAATACCTCAGATGTCCAGGGAGACAGGTCAAGGGTCATCCTGAGATGATCTGGAGGGCAGAGGGGAGGTATAACCCTCTCCTTACAGACTGTCACTTGAACAAAGGTCCTCACCCTGCAGAGGTCAGAGCCCTCCGCTGGTGACCTTTACAGATCACTATGGCCTGTGAGTGGCTGAGATCTCTGAGGAAACAGCCCACTCTCAGTCAGTCACCTCCTCTGTTTCTCCACAGAGCCAGTGGGAAAGCCAGTCCTCCGAGCCAGCAATGCCACAGTCACAGAGCATAAGGACGCCGTGGTCCTCACCTACCTCACAAATGACACGGGGATCTCCATCCAGTGGCTCTTCAAGAACCAGAATCTCCTGCTCACATACAGGATGAAGCTGTCCCAGGACAACAGCACCCTCACCATAGACCCCGTCAAGAGGGAGGACGCTGGGGGTTATCAGTGTGAGGTCTTCAACCCCGTCAGTTCTGGTATAAGTGACCCCTTCGGGCTGAATGTGCAATGTAAGTGATCCTTGACCTCTCTCACTTGCTCTTTGTATATATCATGGGCAGGATGGTGAGATGGATGAACACCTTGAGGAAGTGAGAACCTCCTTCAGAGCCTATAGAGCACATGGTTACGGACACCAGAATTAGACTAATCTTGTCATTGTCTCAGTTCTATGAGTCTAAGCTGTCTGACCATGGGGAAGGCTCTCACCCACCTGAGCCTCAGTTTCCTCATCTCTAAACTGGAATAAAATAGCTGGACCTAAAATCCGCTGTTAGGATACTTCTTGTGAGGTTAATGAGTTAAAGCCCTCAGCCAGGGTCATGCTCAGTCAGGACTCAGTCAGTGTACCAATTTTTATTGTTATTTTTATTAACGTTGCTGTCAGTAGCTTTAAAGTTAAGCAGAACTTGGTGAAAATGTCATTTATCACTCACCAGTTCTGTGATTCCAGCAATTTATTAAGCACCTCCCATCCCTGATTCCGTTTTTGCTCATGGGGGTAACACCCCTGTCCCTTGTGGGGGTGGAAGGATCAGATGACATGAAAGTAGAGTATTTCCCACCCTGCTGGACCATTGAAAACACTCTGCACATTCTTATTACTCATCAGCTGTGAGTTGTCAGGTAAGGTGCCCGCTAAAACTGTCCATAGCGATGGACCATCGTTGGCAGCGTGATTGGGGTCCTTGTCGTGGTGGCTCTGGGGGCCTCCCTGGGCTATTTCCTGTACCTCAGGAGGACGAGGAGGTACCATGGCATTTCCTTCACCCTCACTCTAATCCTGTCCCCTGACCCAGGCTGACCCCCAGCAGAGCCCAGGCCAGGAGGAAAAAGACCCCTTCCTCAGAGGGTTCTGGGCCGGCTCCCTGTGGCCTCCCAGCTTCCCCATGGAGTCCCCTAACTCCCTCAATCCAGCTTCTCCCTCACCTGCTGCTGACCAGGGTGGTTTCCTCAATAACTTCCTCACCTATAAATGAGACACGATTAAGGAACTGTGCCCTCAGGATTGTCCTGGTTCCCTCCACACTCCTGCTGGGGTGCCGGCAGGTAGTAAGTGCTCAGTAAGGCACCTCCTGTTGTTTATCTAAGTCCATCCTCCCAGGTGAGGGGATGGGCTGCCTCAGGGTCTGAAAGTCATCCTGGCCTAGGCCACACAGCTGAGGGTGGAAGAGCCTGGATAGAGTGGGTTGCTTCAAATGCCCCCATGAAGCCAGTTTATTAGCTAAAATCCTGATGTGTGAGATGGGAGGACAATGGAACCTAAGGTGTCCTTTTGGCCTCTAGTTCAGGTGGATGGAGACACGAAAGGCCTTGGTCACAGTGTAGCTCTATAGGCCGGAGGGCAGGTCTGGCCACAGCAGGCACCACACTCATCCAGATGCTACATGAGGCTGGCACTGCTGACCCCTGAGGCCTTGACTTTTCCACTAAGTCAGACCCTCGGGGAAGATTCCTGTCCTGGGTAGCTCAGTCCCTTCCCTGGTAACTCCTCCCAGACCCCCATCTGCCTGAGGGTCCTTTCCCTGTGGGCCCAGGTCAGCCTGGGTCCTTAAGACCTTGCCTCAGTTCCCCTCTCTTGGGCCCGTTCCCCCTCAACAGTGGAGAGCGGCCTCCACCCTCTGCTGGGAAAGGAGACCCTCCTTGCCCCATGTTGTGACACCAAAGCTCCCCTGCACCCCTCACAAGTAAGTCTGACCTTTCCCAGGGCCAGTGACCCGCACGGCCTCCGAGAGCACCCACCTCCAGCAGCCACACCTGGTGAGCGTCTGTTCAGCCTGGAGCCCCTGGGCCTGCCCCACAGTGTCCACCCCTGCCCTTGTCCCTCAGCCTCTGACCCTTCCCAGGGCTTCAAGGGGGATTCTCATCACCACTCTGCACAGGGGACCCTGGCTCGCCAGTCAATCTGACCTGTAGGCTGTGTCTTGTGTCATCACCTCTCCCTCACTGGACCCTGAAATGGCCAGAGGGTCTTGCCCTGGGAGGTGATCTTTCATCCCTGGCTTGGAAGCTAAAGAACCACCCCCTCCTGGGAGAACAGGTCAAAGCTTTCTCCTTCCTAGGTGCTAACTCCTCCTGTCTTTGCTCCCAGGCCAGGGTCCCTCTGGAACCTCTGCCTTCCCGGTAAGTCCATCTCCTTTCTGTTCCCTCACCCAGGGCCTCAGTGACCCACACTCAGGGCAGGGTCACGATCCAACCTCACAACATAGCACAGACCCCTTCTCCAGAACAGCCAGCACAAAGGGAGCCCTGTGTGGTCTAGAGGGACCCCCAATCAGGGGTGGACCAACCCTGACCCATCCTGAGTCTGCCCTGGGTTCCTCGCTGGGCCTGAAGAGAACCCTGGAGTCCAGCATGGAGCAGAATTGGCACTGGGAACACCAGTCAGGGTCCCAGGCAAATAAGGGTGAGGGGGTGCATTATTGGGTGAAGTTGGGTGCTGGGCTACAGGAGTGAAGACAAATGCTCAGGAGGTAGAGCTGTCAGTCCTGCGGAGAAAACCCTCCCTCCCTGTCCTCTGATGCCCTCTCTCTCCCTGCACAGAACCCCCTATCTGACCCCAGGACAGCAGGCCCCATCTACGAGGTGAGTTTGGGTTATGAACATTCTGTCCTGCAGGTCCCAGGGGCCCCTGAACCTGCCCCAAGCCCAGCCCTGGCTGTGCTTCCAGGCTCAGGAAAGGGCAGCGAAAAGTAAAAACAGAAGGTGAGGGGAGGGAAGTGCCTGGGGACAGACACCCCAGCACAGTCAGCCCCCATGGTGCCTGTGAAACACAGCACGTGTTCTGAGAAAGCTGCAGGGCTCAGAGCTCGCTTCTTTCTTTGACAGGAATTACTCAACCCAAACACAGAGGTGTACTGCCGGATCATCCCCAGAGCAGACGTGGCTTCTTAGTTCCTCCAGAATCTGAGACCCCAGACCCTGTGGATATGGCCTGCACCAGAGAACCAGCTCTGAGCATCATGCTAAGCGAAAGAAGCCATAGAGAGAAAGATAAATATCACATGATCTCACTCTTTTGTGGAATATAATGAACAACATAAACTGATTAACAAAAATAGACGCTGAAGAAAAAACTTTTTAGAATATGTTCTGGGCTGCATATCTGGCGCTTTGGCCAGAC